GGCCAAGGGGAAGGATCGCAGGTACATTAAGGAAACAAGTAGCAGCGGAGGAAAGGAGGTCAGCGTGGAATGGCTGGCGAGAAACCGCGCAATCGTATCGTGGCTGAATCAGTGAGGCAAATGTAAAGAAAGTAAATGTAGAAGAGCTAGATAAGACTGTAACGTGCTGTATATTATAAGGAAATTTCTTTCCGACGATTTTCATTCAGCTTACTTTTTTTGCCTGTCCGTCCGGCTGGAATTTTTTTTTTTAAACGAGGATTCAGCTACTTGCCTAGGACAACCAGAGAGCTGAAAGTTGGAAAACACGCTCGTTTTACCGCGATAACACCGTGTAATTTCAAGAAATCGATTCTTCCTTGCGGATAATTGTGTGGTTGGCCCAGGTGAAGTCTCCAGATATCTTTTTATCGCACGGTACGGCTCAATGTACGTTGTCGGATGACAATTTGCAGGGGGAAAATAAACAATCAGGTGTGTAAATTGGAAAAGTTGAAAAAGATGGTTTCAATTAAAAATAAGTACTAAGAAGAAGAAAATAAGTTTGTTAAAATCAGAAACTTGTACATGTTGAGCACGAAATAATCGTATAATCGCGGTATCGTATAATAGCGTGTTATTATTATTATTATTATTATTATTATTATTATTATTATTATTATAGGGTATTACTCAATTGTTGAACTTGTATTATTAAAAATAAAAACCTGACGAGCTCACATTACATTAGTTGGGAAGTTCTCAGAATTGTAAAGCTTTCGAGGACTCTCTGTCCGATTGGATAAATCTTGGATTTACGATTCCAGTCAAATATTGTTGCATTTGTACGTGGAAATCGTTAAAACATTGCTTTGCTTGCCTTCGTTGGAAATTTCTTCATCCGAAACGTTCATCGAAGAAAGCAGAGGACGCGTTGGTCGAATGGAGGTCGCAAGGTTTTTAATTTTAATATTTTATTTTCCATAGCTTATTCGTCGATGGTACTTGACTGGAAAAATTATTTTCTTCTTCCTGGTTCATTTTGAAATAAGAACCATGTTCCTTAATTTTATCAGCTAGTTAACTGTTGCGACTTCTTTGAAAAGTGTGTTCCTAAATTGTGTGGCAAAAAGAAACCGATGACGAGTATACTCGTCAAACATACAGAGTATGTGTGGCTGCTATAATACAGAATAAATTTGTGATTTGACTGTTTCATTTTTCAATTTTATTATTACAGTTTACTCCAATTGCTAAATTGCAATTAAAACAGCAAATTGTAACTACATTTTCGCGTGACGAGTATACTCGTCAGAACACAAAATATTGCCAATCCTTCATGACGAGTATACTCGTCAGAACACAAAGTATTGCTAGTTCCTCATGACGAGTATACTCGTCAGAACACAAAGTATTGCTAGTTATTCGTGACGAGTATACTCGTCAGAACACAAAGTATTGCCATTTCTTCGTGACGAGTATACTCGTCAACACCGGCTAACCGGTTAATTTACATATTTCATTCTCGTCTGCTCGTCTAGGATCGCCCAAATGATTATTCGTGATGGATAATGGATGGCCATTGGATTTTGATGGACAATATGGACATTGGCCAACAATTTACTAATCGATTCAAAGGCTGATTCTGCGCACAGAATATACAGTGTATAAATTTGTTCCTACGTGTATCATAGTATATTTATTTCCAGTTCCACGTTCGCTATATATATTCGACTAACCAACCACAGCGAACACCAAAATAGGAACGTTGGCGAGTGATGCAGCGATATTTGCAAGCCACAAGATCCTAAAATTGCATTCTCCTACCTTCAAGATCACCTGAATTTGCTCCAAAAGTAGCTTCTCAAATGGAGAGCTAAAATCAACGAGACTAAGTCAACCCGTGTAAGTTTCTTTTTCAGGAAAGAGCAATGCGATTCGAAACTTTATCAAACGCGTAAAAACCGCATAAAAATACCGCAGCTGTCAACAGTACGATATCTGTTGTATTGGCAATTAAGTGATTGCGGATTTTGTCAATGTCATCTAATGACAAAATCCGCAATCACTTAGTTGCCAACCAAATAAATCTTCCCAATATGTTGCGCGCACTACAGTCAATTGAAAGGAACAATTAATGGTAAAAAGAGAGAAAATAGATGGAAGATGCGAAAATATCTACTGACGACATGTCAGAAAGCGGGGATTATCAGCGAGGAATAAGACACTTATTTATAGAAAAGATAACAAGGCCGATATGGATTTATGGCATCGAGCTACAGGGTCGTGTCTGTAAATCCAATACTGTCATCGTACAAAGATCTCAAGCCAAAATACTCCGCAGGAAGACGGATGCACCGTGCTATGTATCAAACAAAACGCTGCACGATGACTCTGACACGCAATTCATCAGACGGACAATACGAGAAAGAAGCAACAGCCACTACATCAAACTGGATCTTCGCAGCAATCTTCTCGGTTCTACCGGTTCTGAAGAAACAGGGTTCTGGAAGACTAAGAAGACAGTGGCCAAAGTGACGTCAAATGAGTCGACGTTACGACATACAGAGTGAACCAATATATTGAGATTACTGTGTTTTTGATAGTTCGATCGAAAATCGCTTTATCAGGTACAGCGCGGTTTCGAGAGAGTTTCAACGTGATTATAGCAAATTTGTTGTCAACTCTCTATTCCTCATGATTTTTCGACATCAACTTGAATTTCTCGCAAATAAACCGATAGTTTTTTAATAAAACACCTATCTGCTAGAGGATTCCAAGGCGAATTTTCTCTACTTTTTTTTCTGCTAGTGTGGACTCTTCAGTAAGGCTCTCACCTAACAGACCTATACCTTACACACAACGAGAGAAGACAGAAAGCGAGTGTTTCGTCCAAGATCTTACTTTTTTTTTTCATTATTTAATTTGAGCTTTACAATTTGTCCAACTGGACATTCGGTAAATTGTTTCTCTCTACTGATCACGACTCCTGGCTCACCCTGTATAAGGAACCCGAGGCACCAAATTAGCCTAAAGAATCTTCTCTTTGATTTCGATCGCCGATGCGAAGATAGGAAAAAGAAAGTTCATTTTTTGTTGTTACAGTAACAGTTTATATCAGTTTGGATCAAACGAGATGTTGTACGTATTAGAAAATAAAAAAATCCTTCAATTCGTCGATGCAATTATTTTCCCAGCAATGTTGCTCATAGACACGCAAACGTAAACTTTCTCGAGCTTTTAAGATATTACACCGCGCAAGGAAAGTTTCAGACCATGCATCACCTTTAATAATCAGACTTACTTAAGTTGTCCATGTAATCTGAGAAAATTAGATTAACCAGTACGCTGTAAAACTAGCAATCGAACTTGCCTGATAATACTAATCATCAATAATCACATTCGATGTTGCTCGAAATCCTCTCATTTTACATTCTGTAAAAATAATCACCTTCCCATTAACTTGTTACTATTCCGCCAAGAAGAACGATCGAACGAAAAGATTGGAAATTCCCAGCGAGCGCAACGAAAAAGGCAAACGAAGAATCGTGTCTCGTTGTTTCGAAAACATCGACCAGCAACGAGCATGTGCGGCGAATATCAGGCGATGGAAATGGAGAAACTGGCCGCGTCGTCGCATCAATGACACACCAACGACACTGCAACGCGACGTCCTGGCGAGCAAAAGGAACGTCAGAGATCGCGTGCCTTCTCCTCTATAAATGGTCATGTGTGTCAGAGGCGCGATACTGCGATCTTGCACGTCTGGTTCAAGCGTGAACATTGAATGATCAGTGTGAACACTGATCCGATGATTCCTTTCGGATCCCAGTCTGTTCACACCTATATGGATCTTCCCTTTGAAGCTTAGAACGATTATCTTCTCTTTGAAGCTTAGAACAATTATCTTCCCTTTGAAGCTTAGAACAATTATCTTCCTTTTTCCTCGAAAATTGGCAAATTCATTCGAACCTGATTTTATTATTACATCGCGTGATATGGTTTTATTTTGCGATCGTATCATAGCCACCGTGTGCTACTTTGTGCCATTGTGCGATTACGCTGTTACGAGTAATCACGAACGATGGGAATATTGGAGTGAGAATTTCTACACAGCTTTAGGTAGCTTCGAGGCGATGAAAGAAGAAACGAAACGCGTATGCTTTGGTCCGTTTGGACGGTTACTTTTCTTAAGCAAATTACTGCAAGTGAAACTGTCATAAATGTGTGCAAGGATTTCTGAATTTCACGACTCACTATGACTACAGATAGCGAAACCGATTAGCTGTTGAAAAGGTGCGTTGAATCGCGTGAACATCGCTTTGAACATATTGGCTTGGCAACTAAGTGATCGCGGGTTCTGTCATTAGGTGGCAATGAAAATAATTTTGTATCAAGGCTACTTATACCAATACCAGTGAAAATGATACTTGTCAAAGTGTACAGGAGTCCTGCACTCTATTTATCGACCCCCAATTAACCAGTTTCCACACGTTTTCCAAATTTTTACCGCGTATCATTCGATATGACTTTATCAGTTATCAGAAAAATTCCGGATAGATCGCTAGATCGCTAGATGCTAACACTAGAAACACCACATCAGTCAAAACGACTGGGTCTACCATTTTACAACCCTCGTTTAGGGATTATGGTCCCAGCTGGATTAATAATAGCAGAAATGTACCACCTAACATGGAATTGCTTCTGTAAGAAAGCAATAAATCAATAAATATAAAAATATTCTATTATTACGTATTTTTTAAAGCCCAATCATTTTCACTGATTGTGGTAGAAATAGCTTCGTCTTAACTATAGGTAGTTCTACTGTTAACAACGCACAAATTTATTACATTTATATGCCCCGTTCTGTATTTGAAATTTTTCATTAAAAATATATATTTATATAGAAAATAATCTCGCCACCAGGTATATGTACCACATCATTGGACATTGTCAGGAAAAAAAGGAGCACTCGTAATAAAAGAGTAACGTTTGTAGAACTATATCGCCAGAGACAGTACCATATTATTCAGATTGGACTTGATCTCTTGAGCTGCCCAGGACGATTCCATGTCCATGGAGACTCCGGGGGGTTGCAGTTGTTTCGATCGAATCGACGTATTTCTGCTCTGCTTCTTTCTTTCCTTGCGCTTCATCTTTCATGGCTATTCCTCGTCGCTTCCACGAGTGAACACTAACCTTCTTCTTCGCGTCTTTGTCACCTGCTCTTCACCAGAGATACACACGATATTTACACCTTACATGGTCCTCATTCACCTTCTATTTATCATTCACCTTCGAGAAGTTATATTCAAAGTGCCAGCTTTCTATTCTTTTATGGCCCATTGTTCGCACCTCTTCGACGCGAGAAGCGATTCAACTTGCGTCAATCCGATACGATACCACGTGGCTGTGGCTTCAGGGCCGACCTTGCGATCCTCAAGTTCACAGGATCCGCGAAGCGAAACTCGCAAGCCGCAGATTCGATGGAGTAGCCGCGAGTTCGCTGTTTAATTAGCCATTTGATAGCTCGTCATCGATGCTTCAAGCTTCCAGATTCAATTAAACTATTGCAGTTAGGAGTTTACGTCAGCGTTCCGTTGACGAGCAATCGATACGGCGTTACGTGGCTGGGTGGAAGGTCGCTCTTATGGATGTCAAGTTCATAGCTCTGGCGACGAAACTTCAGAACTCCCGGCTTCCACGAAAACAGACTACAATTTCCTTATTTGATTAGCGGTTTATTACCTGGCCATTGATACGCGCCATCCTCTTGTTTCTATGTTAAACGAACGATTCAACGCGTGTCTCGTTATGCAGCAAGTCTCTAACAGTTTAAACTTTGTTCAAGCTTGCGAAGGTTTATTTTTAGAAAAGTTGGCGAAAGTGTATTTTCTTCGCAAGCTTCTACGCAGCATCCGCAATTTAACAGACGTTGCAGGTATATTTTTTCGTTCAACAATCCTCGCACGTTTTTCATATTTCCACGTTGTATTTCAGTTCCAATCGCTGCAAGATATTTGTAATCGTTACGATTATCATCGTCGTGGATTATGGCTGTCGTTCGTTATCGATCGTTAGATCGGGCGTTCATAGCCGCGGAGAATTCGTGGCTCTTGTATTTTGACCTAGTTGCGGAATGTAGAGCAGAAATCATGGCGTCATAATGTCACGTTAAATATTTAGTAATACGTTCTTGTCAGCTTTCTGCTTCTACGTATTTATCGAGACAGCGTCGAAACGCGTTCTAATTTTCAACCTAAGCCTCCGAACGTAATAAAGAAATTTCGAGCGAAGAATTTGTCGAAGAAACTTCGTTAACACCTTTTAAACTGTTCGCTGTACGTACAGAAAGCCTTTACGTTGCTTGTCATCTTTCTTCCAGTGTCGTCCGAGACACTGTCAATAGCCACAGCTACTGTCAAACTTGCGGATATTCAGAAACTGTCTCTGTGTTTATTCAAACAAAATACTGTGAAATCTCAAGCGAAGAATTGATCGAGAAAAGAGTCAGAAAGGAGTCCTACTCTTCGTCTTCCTGCGTTTATTGACTATGCTAATTTCCTAATTCCAATATCAAGTTTCCGATAAAAAGAGCGCTAATTACGGTATTTTCTTATTTCGAGTACAATTTTCTTGGGTCTGTCTGGTTCCAACGTTCGACAGAGAATTTGCCAATTGTCAGTTGTTGAATTTTCGGCAATTTATCGCGCAGACATCGTCCAGCGTAACGTCCAAATCTTCGCTGTGACTTATCTGCGATTTTCCTGCGTTTCCGCATTCAGCAACGATCTCTTGCCAAACTGCAGCCATCGAGCAGCAATCGACGATGAATTGTAACCTGGTGATAGAGCTGACACTACGAGGGTTACCATCACAACTGCGTTGTTACCAAGCTCGGTTTGCCTACGCTCCATCGGCGCGCATGTGCAACTTTCCTACCCTTCGATTGTTGATGACAACGTGGTCATCGTGGTAATCGCCAGATTATCGCCACGTAATTCGCTATCATCGGCGTTGCTATTACAAGGAAAATAACGGGAGAAACGAATTTAGGAATTTACCGCTCTTTCAGCTGTTTGACTTTGTTCGTTTCGTCTGCTCGATCGTTCGGCACCGTGAACAGGCAAAACGAAGGACATAAATTACTGAAACGCCGATAATCGATCGTGACGTCAATCGTCTAATCAGCGTTTCAGAAAGAGAATATTCTTCCAGGAATACCTTCGGTATTTTTGGAGTTTTATAGATTTCCGGCTAGCTGCTCGCAGAAAATAAGAGTATAGTTAATACCGTTTGTTTTTTCTATTTTTCAGATTGCATTATACGGGGTGTCCCAGCACAATTATCGTACAATTGACAAGGGAGCGATTGTGCGCGAAAAAACAAGCGGAAAATGTGGAACAGAATTTATTTATTCGGCGCTTCGTTTTTGGGGAAACCGAGCTCCTAAATTTGTCGACTATACTTCAGTATGAGTGATTCCGGGCTAGACAGGACCGAATGATCGACAGGAAGTTATTCTACGTATAAAAATAAGTAAAAAATGTAGAATATAGTTTTCCCATAGGAAGCTTCGTTTCCGAGAAAATGAAATCTCAAAATTGGTGAGGTATGCGTGCATCAGGCTAGTTCTTAATCGAACACGTTCAAACTCTATTTTCTTGTGAACGAAGCTATATAGGAGAACATTTTATTCCACATTTTTCACTTGTTTTCGTACGTAGTGTAATCTTCTGTTAATTATTTTTTCGTATCTAGCCGGTGGGTAATTAAAGCTCACGTGCGCCACACAGACTTTTAGATTCGATTCTATCGGAAACGAAGCGCCGTATGAAAAAATTCTATTCTACATTTTCGATTTATTTTTTCACGTAGAATCACTCCCTTGTCGATTCTACTATGGTTACCAAGATTCTATACGGAAGAATTACTAATTTTTTCGTGGAAGTTGACATTTCTATCCTGTAAATTATGTGCTCAAGCGTAACATTCGCGGAGAAATTTCCCGGATTGTTCTTCGTATTGTCAAATACGCTTGATATTCCATTTTCTGTGAAACAATTCCAGGCAGTAAAGTTCAAGGTTATTCGACCACGAAATGTATATGCCAAGGTACCAATCGTTAAATGGAAGTAACACGGGACTACTAAAACTTTTTATTATAATTTTTATACACCGCTTTCTTCGCGTCTGCATCGAATATAAAAATTCTATATACAAGGTGAGTCATGTGGAACAGAACGTAAAGATATCTTTGTTAATATCGAAGATAGGAAAAAGTGTCGGAGAGGGAAGTTATATCGTTCAAGGAGACTGTTGACGCTTTTTTCAAGGTCTTTTGGAAATTTCCGATGACCTTGCCAAGGATTTTGAAAAAAGCGTCGATCAATTTTTTAGTACCACCGTATTTGTCTCCTCGGGCGACTATAACTTTCCTGTCCGACACTCTTCCCTGTCTTCGACACTAACAGAGATATTTAGCTGTCTTGTTTCGCACAACTCACCCTGTATATACGTCCGATCAAAGCGAATGAAATTGCTTTCCAAACAAATGTCGAATTTTCCTTGGCGGTGAAACACGTTCGAGAAATCCGCCGAAGTCGCGTGTTTCGTCGCTTGTTAACCGGATTATTTAAAACTTCAGCTGCAGCTACGTTGAAATTCAAAGTTCAAGGTCGCTGAAGAGATGGATTTACACGATGCCCCGCGCAGATAACACATACTCCTTGGAAATCCTACGAATTCCATGTTTAAATTTCATTTTTATACACTTTCGTTCGAATAAAATTTCCTGTAATTCCACCTGGCTCGACGAGATATTTTATACGAGAAGATTATTACTATTAAAATTATAAAGAAATAAAGTTACTATTCGTGAAGTTATAGGACATAACGTTACGTAAAACATTTTATCTTTCATCATATTTATCTTCGTTTTATTATTCGACGTTATGGGAAATATTTTCAATAAGTGGAAAATTCGAAGGATAAAAGAGTGTTTCACGGTCTTACGAAGATGTCTGGGATTTATTTGGCCACGTTAAAATTCCATCTTCCTTCTGTATTAATATTCGACAAAAAGTTTTCACATCCTTTAATCCTTGTATGGAACTTCTATGGGGTCGCGGAAAAATGTAAATTTCCGTGAAAACGACCTAGTGCCATAAGTTTTCCAAACACGAGCAGTAAAATTTATGTGGGAGTAAAATTTATGCAGAAGTAAAATACGGTACGTTTAATTATCGTGGCGTATCATTTTAATGATTTATTGCGCTTAGATGTGCATACTGATTTGAATATCATTATTTATTCATCATTTATTTTCATATTTCATACATATAATACAAGCAGTTGCTTGCGTCGGTCGTCATTTAATGTTTGTTAATACGCCATAGTAAATGTTTGGATTATTTTGAACCAGTTAGCTGTTTTCGACGAGTATACTCGTCATGAAGAAATGGCAATATTTTGTGTTCTGACGAGTATACTCGCTATGCGTAGCACAAATAAAACACTCGTTTCATTAAAATTTAGTTCTCTGTTGTAACAGCCAGTCTCTGTGTTTGACGAGTATACTCGTCATGAAGAAATGGCAATATTTTGTGTTCTGACGAGTATACTCGCTATGCGTAGCACAAATAAAACACTCGTTTCATTAAAATTTAGTTCTATGTTGCAACAGCCACTCTCTGTATTTGACGAGTATACTCGTCATGAAGAAATGGCAATATTTTGTGTTCTGACGAGTATATTCGCCATGCGTAGAAGAAATAAAACACCCGTTTCATTACAATTTAGTTCTATGTTGTAACAGCCACTCTCTGTGTTTGACGAGTATACTCGTCATGAAGAAAAGGCAATATTTTGTGTTCTGACGAGTATACTCGCCATGCGTAGAAAAAATAAAACACTCGTTTCATTACAATTGTACAATATGTTGTAACAGCAACACATACTCTGTGTTTGACGAATATACTCGTCATCGCTTACTTTTTCCGATACTTAACATTTTAGTTACATTTAATCAATTATTAAAGTTCTATCAAAATTGTGGTTGAGCGTTATTATGATGCAAAACTGAAGGGAAAATTTATAGTAATTGACAAATATATATCTCGATTGGAAAAGAAGATTTGTATGGATTATGAGAGTTATAAATGTAGAGAAAAGCTTTTCTTTCGACAAATACTGCTTTCGACTGTAACAAATAACGGTCTTTCTAAAGGGAAGCTTCCCTCGTATTATCATCATTTGTCTTGTAAATTCAAACAGCCAAACTTGATCAGAATTGCCAGTACATTGCGAGACTTTATAGGTCTTAAGATATATAGCGTCATTAAGTTAAAAGTAATGAGTATTTCCGAACAGAAAGTGTCCGATCTGCGGCCATTTTTTGTTGAAATTTCAGACATTTTTCGTCCACAGAACAGAAGAGAGTTACGTTGATGACGACAAGAAATATTATATTTATCTCCGGATTTAAATGGCAATATCCGAACATTTCAATTTGAAGGTGGAAAAATACAAAGAATACGCACAGGATGTAACGATACACAAAATATCCAAAGTAGGCTCGATATAGAGTTGCATATAATATTTAAAAGATACAACAAATCTTCGATTTTTTAAATATTGTGTTTATAAAAATATGGATTAGCTGGAAGATCGAAGGAATTTCCGGAGTTATTAAACAGTAATTATTATGCATAAAATACATATTAACTAAGAAAGAACTAGGGGATAATAGGCAAATAATACTAACAGTACTAACGATATAGCAGCAATAACAGTACTAATAGTAATAATAATAGTAGCAATAAGATGCAATAATTAAAAGATCGATATAATCAAATGAAGGGAATGAATTTGCAATCTTATGAAGGTTTTCGACTCATAGAGGTTCGACTGCGTTGCAATTACAGATTTTCGGAATATTTGTTCATTTACATGTATACTTTTATGCTTACTTATTTACTCATATAATTATATACTTATTCATTTATTTATTCACTTACTTACTTATTCATTTACTTATATACTTATATACTTATATCGTTATTCATTTACTTGTATACTTGCATACTTACTCATTTACTTTTATACTTACATATTTATTCATTTACTTACATACTTATATTGTTATCCATTTACTTACATACTGACATACTTATTCATTCACTTATATACTTCCATACTTATTCATTTACTTACATTCTTATATTGTTATTCATTTACTTATATACTTATGTGCTTATTCATTTACTTATATTCATTTATTTCCATACTTACTTACATTCTTATATTGTTATTCATTTACTTGTATACTCACATCCTTATTCATTTACTTTTGTACTTACATACTTACATATTTGCATACTTATTCATTCACTTCTATACTCACATACTTATTCATTTACTTACACACTTATATTGTTATTCATTTACTTGTGTACTTACATCCTTATTCATTCACTTTTATACTCACATACTTATTCAGTTACTTACACACTTATATTGTTATTCATTTACTTGTGTACTTACATCTTTATTCATTCACTTTTATACTCACATACTTATTCATTTACCTATATACTTATATTGTTATTCATTCATTTTTATACTCACATACTTATTCATTTACTTACACACTTATATTGTTATTCATTTACTTGTATACTTGCATACTTACTCATTTACTTTTATACTTATATTGTTATTCATTTACTTACATACTTATATTGTTATTCATTTACTTACATAGTGACATACTTATTCATTCACTTATATACTTCCATACTTATTCATTTACTTACATTCTTATATTGTTATTCATTTACTTGTGTACTTATATCCTTATTCATTCACTTTTATACTCACAT